TATATATATATATATATATATATATATATATATATATATATATATATATATATATATATATATATATATATATATATATATATCACAACGCTCTTTGTAAAATTATCCCTCTATAACAGCCATATAGAATCATTAAGATTACTAATAATAGTTTTAAAAATATGCACACAATCTTTTCCATTAAACAAAGTTTCTATCTTGCATAAGATACAAGATTTGAAGATTTGTACATGATATCTTTTCCATTGGACAAATTTTAAAAAATATTTAGATTAAAAATTTAACTATTAAGCTCTTAGATTGTCTTCAAGGGAAAGTTATTGGATAACTTTTTGCTGAAAAGTTGGACACGAATCTTCCTCAATCAAGCATTAAATCGCTAGTATGAGAATGAATCAACAAAACAAGCTACAATTATAAAGTTCTTCCATCAATCTTGAAAGAATTTATTTTTCTAGATAACTTTAAAATGTCTGCCTTAGAGTTTAAATCTTTATACATTCAGCTGTGGATTTATTAATATTGTATTAGCTTTTTCAATATTTAAATAGTGAAATATGTATATCTTTTGAGATTTTAAATTTAAATAATATCACGCCCAGACATCGGGGAGCGTGACCAGCGCTCGACGGAGATACCCCGGTTAAGCAAGCCTGAGAGATGCCTTCTACCCAACCTTGCCCATTAACGATATAAGAAGCAGTACAAGTGATAGACATGACAAGGGTCAAGTGTTCCACATTCTTTTCCCATTATTCAAAAGAGTATGATTTCCAAAATATTACACGTTTATAGATATGATGAAACATGTTTTCCAAATACTAAAATTTCCGGTTCAATTCCCAACATCAAACACCACCTACAACCTGTCTACGGAGCCTCCAAGTACAATAAAAGAGTAGTATGGAAGTGTCGTGTAACGACCTGGACCGATCATTTCGAGAGTTGTATCCCCATTCCCCCATTTTTTGCTTCTTTTGTATTCTACAACTGTATTATGATCTATCGGGTTAGTTGGTGCGGGTCCGGAGTGATTTCAGAATGAATTGAGACATTTAGTCTCTTATTTGAAAGCTTAAGTCGGCAAAGTTGATCGGATCTTGACTTATGTGTGAACGACTTCAGATTTAATTTTGATGGTTATGTTAGCTTCATTAGGTGACCTTGGACTTAGGAGCACATCCGGATTGTATTTTGGAGGTCCGTAGTAGAATTAGGCTTGAATGACAAAAGTTGAAATTTTGGAAAGATTGATCGGGAGTGGACTTTTTGATATCAAGGTCGGATTGGATTTCTGGAAGTTGGAGTAGGTTCGTGGTGTCATTTATGACTTGTGTGCAAAATTTGAGGTCAATCGGACGTGATTTGATAGGTTTTGACATCGTTTTTAGAATTTGGAAATTTCAAAGCTCATTAGGCTTGAATCCGTGTGTAATTCGTGTTTTTGATGTTGTTTGAGGTGATTTGAGGGTTTGACTAAGTTTGTATGATGTCTTGGGACTTAATGGTATGTTTAGTTTAGGTCCCGGGGGCCTCGGGTGAGTTTCGGGTGGTTAACGGATCATTTTTGGACTTTGGTAAATGGCTGATAGCTGCTGGTATTTTTCATCTGGTTTCCTTTTATGTGTTCGCGAGGAAGGTCTCGCCTTCCCGAAGTGTTCTAGGAGGCTAAGGAAATTTGTTCTTCGCCTTCGCGAATAGAATCCTGCGTTCGCGAAGGGGTGGTCGGTGGAGGCATCGCAAACGCCAGAAGTGTAACACGTTCATGAAGGGGTGGTCGGTGGAGGCATCGTGAACGCGAGAAGTGTAACACGTTCGCGAAGGGATGTTGAGGCAGCTGAGGCCCCAGGTCCTTGGTCTACGTGGTCGCGAGGCATGGGTTGAGTTCGCGGAGGTTAGAGTTGGTAAAGCTTCGCGTTCGCGAAGAGTTAAGTTGAGAGGAAGTCAGAAGTAGTCTATGCGAACGCGAGAGGACGGTCACGTTCGCGAAGAAGGAAATGTGGGCAGCAATATTTAATTTCAAAAATGAGGGTTTGAACCCATTCTTCATATTTCGAGCTAGAGACTACGGATTTTGGCGATTCTTGAAAGGATTTTTGTGGAGATGATTGGGGTAAGAGATTTTTACCTGGTTTTGGCTATGTCCCATGATTATATATTT